TAATTTTGTAGGAAACACATAGTACTCTGTCTTTTTTCCTTAAATTATAGAATTCTATTCTCATGTTGATTTTTTTCTTTCCATATTTGCATTCATTTGTTCAGACCTGTTCATTGAATTTCAACCTGTAGTCTTGTCCTCCTACATCTCAGTTTATACTTGTCTTCATGTCCTATCATATGTGGCCTTCATTTATGCTTAATAAATGAAGTTGTTGTTTGCTCCTCTGCCAAACTACCTTGGAAATCTTCTAAAACTTTTATCTGTCCAATTTTCATTTTACAATGGATTTGTAGACAGGCTTTCTGAACACATTTGAAAAAAAATTGCATTGGTGTAAGATTGATAGCTCAACTCTTAAGTTTGGACTTACATGCAACTACACTTTGCTGTAAGTAATTATTTGTACTATTTCATCCAGTAGATATTGATATTCTAATTATTCCAGGAGATTACCTTGCTGTAGTCATTCTTTCTTTTATGAATTTAAATAAAAATGCTGTTTTTTGTGAAACATTTAGAAATATAGAAAACATAGGAATCACTGTGTTCACTAATATATATCTGATAATTATATCATTACAATTCTTTCCTCAGCATTTTATCTGTGTAAAGAAATGTATTACACATAATATACTTTTTATGAAAAAGGCTCACACTTACTATTTGTGACACTTTTTCTATGTTCATTAATATAATTCTTAGTGGGTACATATTAATCCAAGTTAAATATATGCATTATATTCAACTATCATTTAGTGTGACAATAAACATTGTTCCCATAGTCTTCATGCTGAAGATTTTGGAAAGTTTTCTAGTTGTAATGTTATGTATTACGTCATTATCTGCCATGTAGCTTCAACCTAAACACTACAGTGAAAATGCTTTAGATAAATTGACCAATGGAATCCATCCCAGGAAATGATATTTTCTTTCACGTAGTCTCCAAAAACAACATCTAGCATTTGATTTTCCTGTTTCTCTTAGATTCAGTCTGTAATCGAATTTAGTTGTAATTAAATTTCAAGGTCCCCCATTATTCTGCTCCCTTTTATCTGGTCACACTGCCTACTATATACTTGGTATATTTTTATGCTCTTCTCCTGCCTGGTATTTACATGTCTGATACTTGGGACTTTGTCTAGAGTCCTCTTTTCTTCCAGCATTCTACCCAACTTTCCTGATTTAATTCTTGCTGCCTGTGGCAGATAAAACTGTGATGGTCTATAGGATTCCTGTATTCATGGTGTGCATGCCCTGCATAATTTCCCCTCCTTATGTTTGGGTGGAATCTCTAAATATCAGGAGATGTTCACCTCATTCATTAGGTTTGCTATATGATCAAATACTTGGTTCTGTTGTAGTACCCTGAAAAGAGATTGTCCTGCTGACTTTGAAATAGAAAGATTCCATGTTTGAGGAACTTCGTGGCCTAGACTTGAAAACAACTCCTGGGAGCTGGGAGCCAGTCCAGATGACAGCCAGCAAGGAAACGGGCTTCAGGGCTGGTCAAATAGCTCAGCAGATTAAAGCGCCTGCTTAGGCAGATGAAGGGGCCTGGAGTTCTATTCCTGGGCCTGCCCTGCTGGCCCCACTCCCAGGGCACCCTGAGATGGCCATTGAGACTGGGTGTGGTGGCGCACACCTGTAATCCCATCGCTTGAGAGGCTGTAAACAGGAGGATCACTATGAATCTGATCTGTGCAGTGGGATCATGTACACCCTGTGAACCCTGTCCTAAATACAAAAAAAGAAGAAAGAAAAAGAAAACAGGCTTCAGTCCTACAGCCTCCAGATCTGAGTTCTGCCAGTGTTCAAGGAGCTGAGGAGGGACCGCAGGCACTGGGTGTGGTCTTGTCCCTGGCTGATGCTGGTTTCAGTCTGCTGGGACTCAAGTCTGAGAAACTGGCAATCTATACCTTAGCTCTTGACCTGCAGAAACTATAAAATATAACTTTATGTTATTTTAAGAGGCTAAATTTGGTGTGATTTGCTATGCAGCAAAAGAAAGTAATACCTCACAATCCCTCTCGAGACAGGAGAAATTAAAAACCCTTTAATGTCATTAAAAACCACAGTTCTTCACAAAGTCTACAAGTCCTTACATCATCAGTCCTTTACCACTTCAAGCACATCTCACGCAGTCTTCTATCACTTGGCCTTTCCTTCAGCCATCAAAGATTTCTTACTCTTCCTAAAGCATGGCATTTGCTTTTGAATGCGCTTTTCTCAGTAGTTTCTCAGTTAAGTACTCTCTATGGACTCCTGTTGCTCCCGTTTCCTTAGGTAAAGCGTATTATCTCTTCATGAAATGATAACAGCTTTTACTACTTTAAAGCTTGTTTTCATTTTGATTTTATCCTTCTAGACTATAAGATCCATACAGCAAGGAAATAATGCTTTTTTTCTCCCCTGTGGTTTCTCCTAACACCTATTAATAGTAACTGGAAAGTATTCAAAAATCAACAAAATTTGAGCAAAAAATTATTCCTGTATATTAACATTTTTTTGGAAGCCAGATTGCTGGTAAATAGTACTGATGTTTTACAAACTTTACTAGATACATTCATATGTCATCTATTTAAGCTTTACAATGTAATTTTGATATATGTATATATTATAAAGTGATTATTGTAATTAGCAGGTCCATCACTTCATATAGTTGCTTTTATGTGGTGACAGTACTTGAGCTGTACTTCCTTAGTAATTTCAAGTATACCATGCATTGTTTATTAACTGCAGTTGCTATGTTATAAATTAAATCTCAAGAATTTAGAAACACTTGCTATGTGCTTTTAAATTATCTAGAGAAAAGATCACATCGATTCAAAGTCTAGTAGACTGTCCATTTAATAGCACTTTTACTTACTTTGGGGGCATCTTTAAAATAAACCTTTCCAGGCTGGTGAGGTGGCGTAAGGGACTAAAACATCTGCTTAGGCAAGCGCAGGGACTGCAGTTCAATTCCTGGCAGCACATGCCACACAGGCCCCTCAGCTGCATAGTGAGATCCTGTAACAACCAAATAGATTAAAATAAATAAGTAAATAAATAAAAGTTTTTCTAGTTTCATACTGGTATTATGACTTCCACTCTATAGGTGTTGGTCTTTTTCATGTCACTTATTTTTATTCTGTATATTTTCTATTTGTTTCTTATTTTTCTTTTTTAAAAATGTATTTGGTACAGGGTCTCCCTGTGCAGCTTGGACTCATAGTGATCCTCCTGTTTTCAGCCTCCCCAGTGCTGGGATTACAAGCATGTGCCTCCATGCCCAGATTCAGTTGCTGGCTCAGCGTCCTCAGGGGTGGGGCCTGTGCAGCATTCGGTCCAGGATCCAATCCTGTCCTTGTGCTTGCCTAAGAGGTGCTTAGTTCATTAAGTTATCTCAAATTAAAGATATTCACTGGTCAATGCCTCAGGACAATCTACTTAGAGGCCTGGACAAGGCATGTGGAAAGCACCCATGCTGAGTTAGGTTGCTCTAACAAGTATACCGTAGACTGGATGGCTTAAACAGCATTTGTTTGTCAATATTCCAGTGACCAGGTAGTGTAAAATCAAAATGCCAATAGATTGGTGCCTGGTGAGGGCTCCTTTCTTTTTTTTTTTTTTTTTTTTTTTTTTTGTGGAACTGGGGATTGAACTCAGCCATCTACTGAGCCATCTCCCTGCCCGAGGCTCCATTCCTAATAGACAGTTGGTTTTCTTCTAGAATGTTCCAACTGCAACTGCCACAACTTTGGGAGTTAAGCACTAACACGCAGACTTGGGGGAAGGCATACAGATGCTCAGTTCACATCACCAATGCATGTGAAATAAGGGGATGATGTAATTCATAGTTTCATTTTCTAGGGGCACTAGAGTATAAAGAATTTTAAAATATTCCCAATTAATGAAATGAGAGTGTTTAGTGAATGTTTATTATTTTGGGGTCTGTAAATGTATTTTAAATGCTTATTTTTTTCCTCTTCTACTTTCCTTAGACTAATGTTTTTGTACATCTTTTGACCAATACATCTTTCTAGTAATATTCTTGTGTGATATATGAGTTAAAGAGTTTTACCAATGTTTCAAATCCAATGTAATTGCATCTACAGTCTGCTTAACATGGGTGCTTCTTTTTCAGAGCTTCAACTGACTTTTTTTTTTCTTTTGGCATTCATTCTTATGTAGTTATTCAGCAGTCTATACTGACTTCTCTAAAAGACACATTTTATTTAACTGGGCACCTATTTGGACTCAGCTGTCTTTTATTTGGAAAAGTTTGTATGTATTATATAATAATGATTTTTTGTGTTTTTAATTAATTAATTAATTAATTTGTTTTGAGAGAGGGTCTCATTCTGTAGCCCAGGCTACCCTTAAACTTTCAGTGGTCCTCCTGCTTCAGCCTCTCAAATGTTGGGATTACAGGTGTGTGTCACCATGTCCAGCTATATTTGGAAGTATGTAGTAGAACTACTTTGTGAAATAATTATAAGTAAAATCAAAGTATCTCTAGTTGCTTGAGAAGGAAAGCATCTCTTTAATTAATTTTGATGGTACTCTTGTAAGCATGGAAGGTCAAAGATATAGGAAAAGAGCTTACACGCAGACAGACTTTAGAAACTTAGTTTTTCAAACAAAATTACCTTCTTTCCCAGTCATGAATACCCGTAGAACATTCCCACTCACTATCTGTTGAAAACAGGCTACAGAGTTCTTCACTACAACTTTCTTTGAAGGTGGAATGAAAACAATTGTGCTTTCTTTCAAAGAATTAAGTCTGACAATCAGAAAGTAGCATTACTGGAATTTACCTGATGTTTCCTTGATAGACAAATGCTTCTTTCAAGTTGATTTGTGTCAAAAAGTAGAAGTCTTGCTTGTAGCCATGGCCCAGGAACAGGCATCAAGTTAAAAGTGTTGGAAATACAACTTCTGGAACATTGTAAAGAGAAGTGGTTGTGATGTCACAGACCCCTGAGAGAAACTTCTAAAAGCAAAATTTAGTTAGAACAGAGACTAAGCCAAAAAAAATGTGATAACTGAGTAAGATGGGATCCAACAGGAGTGTAGTAGAAGAGAATGAAATAATTTGTGAGTAACCCTTTTTCTAAAAGTTTTAATGTAACAGTTCTTAATGAAGAAAGACAAAGGCTTGAACACATGCTACATGTATGGCTTTTGATGATTAATTACCTGAAGATTAATAAATTTGAAATTTATCAGTTAAGGAAATGGAACAACTTGAGGAACCTGATCAATCTATCTCAGGAAGGAGGCAAGAAATTCGAAAGAGAAGACGCCCCAGCCAACCCATGATAGATAAATCCCTGCAAACTGAAGCATCAGAGAAAAAGATACTCTCAAGCACACCACAGTCATCTGGCCCCAAACCTATACTTAGTGTTGACAAAGGCAACTACTCTGCCAAAGAATCTGAGTCTCGTAGTATATCTTCTCAACTTCAGCAAAGTTGGGCAAAGAGAAAGCATGGACAGGAAATGGCTCACAAATCACTGCAGACAGACTCCGTCCTAAAAGGGAAACAAGACTTCAATTTCATTGATGAAACAATGGTACCTGAAGAAAAGCCGGCTGGCACTGGGAAAGCAGCCTCTGAGTTACCAGAACGGGTTCAGGAGGTGGAAATTCCCACATGCAACCCCTCTATTCAGTTAAAAATAGACAGATCTCAGCAGACCAGTTGTACTGGAGCCATGCTGAACCTTCTCCAAGTAGAGAAAGAAGACAAGGAGCAGCAGACATCTTTTAGTGAACTTGAAGTCATGGTTGGCTCTAACCCAAGTAGTTCTTTGACCAAATCAAAGAAAGGTACCCAGACAGACAAATCCCCAGGAAATGTTTGTGTTAGTGAACATCCTGAATTTCAACCAGAGAGAAGTAGTCATGAAGAAATTAGGCAGAAAAGTGCTGACAGTGTTTTATTTACTCCAGAAACCAAAGAAGATAATCCAGTACTTTTAGAAGATGGTTCTAGGGCAGAGGTAACCATACCTGTTGAAGAAGTTTCCTCTGTTACAAAAGGGGCTTCTGCTGAAATGGAGGTCCTACCCACAGAACAAACCCCTGCTGAAGTACAGTCTCCCACTGCAGAGGCAATCCCTGCCAAAGTCAGATTTCCACCAGCTGAAGAGGCCCCTGAGAAGGCAGAGCCCAGCCTTACTGAGAGAATCTCGGCTGAGGCAGCTATTATAACAGCGAATGTCTTTGTTTTGGCACAGGCCCAGTCAGCTGGCCAGGTGCCTTTAATGGAGTCTTCTTCACCAGGGGAAAAGATCAGAAAGAAGTCCTATGATCAAGAAGGGTATCCATCAGCTGAAGTGAGTCATTTTGAAACTTTTTATCCTGATGTTCAGCCTATGCTTGCAGAAAAGTCCCAGGTTGAAGTACTGCCTCCAATAGATGAAGATGCCCATGAAGATGCTTTAGGTAAAGTAGAACCTAGTGTGGCTAAAGAGAACTCCGCTGAGGTTCAGTCTCCATCGGCTCAAGTGTCTTTTGCAGAAGAGGTTCTGACTAAAATCCAGCCTCTATCAGCTGAGGAGGCTCTTGCAGAAGAAGTCACAGGTGAATTTCAGGCTCCAGCTTTTGGAGAGGCTCTTGCAGAAGAGGCCCCTGCTGAAATCCAGTCTCCAGATGACAAAGCTCATGTAGAAGAGGCACCTGCTTTTGAGCCTCCCCCAGCTCAAAAGGCTTTTGCAGAAGAGGGTCTAGCTGACATTCAGCCTCTATCAGCTGAGGAGGTTCTTGCAGAAGACACCCCTGCTCAAGTCCAGCCTCTACCTGCTGAGGAGACTTCTCTAGAAGAGGCCCCTGCTGAAGTGCTGTCTCCACCAGCTGAGAAGACCCCTGCTGAAGTCCAGTTTCCACCAGCTAAGGAGGGTCCTACTGAAGTCCAGCCTCCACCAGCTGAGAAGGCGCCTGTGGAAGTCCAGCCTTCACCAGATGAGGAGGCCCCTGCTGGAGTCCTGTCTCCATCAGCTGAGGAGGCCCCTGCTGAAGTCCAGCCTCAACCAGTTGAAGAGGCCCCTGCTGAAGTCCAGCCTCAACCAGTTGAAGAGGCCCCTGCTGAAGTCCAGCCTCCACCAGCTGAGAAGACCCCTGCTGAAGTCCAGTCTCCACCAACTGAGGAGGTCCCGGCTGAAGTCCAGTCTCAACCAGCTGAGGAGGCCCCTGATGAAGTCCTGTCTCCACCAGCTGAGGAGGCCCCTGCTGAAGTTCAGCCTCCACCAACTGAGGAGGCCCCTGCTGAAGTCCAGCCTCCACCAACTGAGGAGGACCCTGCTGAAGTCCAGCCTCCACTAGCTGAGGAGGCCCCTGCTGAAGTCCAGCCTC